AAGAGGGGATTTCCACCCTCTAGGTTAATTTCACCCAATATTGAGTTAAAGCTAGCACACTCAATCATTCATGAATAATACCTCAAATATTATATAAAAAACTCAATCAACACAAAAAGGTTCATGTTCTTACACCCTAACACATAGAGAGATTAGGATTCACATTACCCAAGTGAGTAGGTAGGCTATTCCATAGCTAAACAAGAGAAAACAACAAAAAGGGAAGAAATAACCATGAAGTGATGTCAATCTTCCTCCTTGTTGCTTGAGACACCCTTGAGATGAAGAAATCTTCAATCCTCTAGCTAGGAACAAGCCCAAAGCTCCGTCCTCCTCCTTTGATTTGCACTTTCTCACTCTAGAAGAAACCTGAACCTCTCACTAGAATCCTCTTTATTCTGAAAAATGAAAATCTAACCTAAAAATGAAGCTCTCTTTCTCTCTCCCCGCTGATGTCTTCATATTTTCCCTAAGGTGACCAGTTCACGACGGCGTTGGCCAGTTCACGGCCTTGAACACCTAAACACATCCGTGAACTCAGTTCGTCTCCAAAATGCACCGCTTCATTCTCATGGGTTCACGGTTAATGACCCCAGTTCACGTTCTTAGCGACCGTGAACTCCCTTGGCGTCAGTAACCTTTGAAACTGACTCGCTATGACACAACTCCTAACAAAGGCAAAGTGTAACCAATGAAAGGGGCTGCAATATAGTGGCTCAAGTAATAAATATCGAATCCACGGGTCTCTAGAGTTACTATTACTCAGCTTCAGTTCATTATCTAGAAAAATAGATTAAGATAGAACAGCAAAAACTACTCTAGCAAACTACGGTTAAAGTTAATCTAATTAAAGGTTGAGAACTAACTTAGGTATAAAGAATGATCGTCATATGCAGAAGCGAACTCCGGCAGTAGCTGGATCGAGTGAAGAACGAGAACTAAGAAGAGTGAGGGAATAACGATGGCAACGTCAGTCGCTAACTAATCTTCTTACCGATAACCAACTCAACCCCCTAGCCACTAGCCAGATTGATGATTGATGATCTCTAACTTGTTTCACTTTCATTCACAATGAGGAGAATCCTTAACTAGACCTTGATTCTCGACTAAAGGAATAAGGCCCTCTTGAGTCAATTGCCTAGAGGGATGTATCCTTCTCTAGAACAACCGATTAAGGCGTTCTGAACTAGATTCCCTCTATCGAATGAGGTTTTCAATCGATACAAAGAAGTGAATCAACCCTCGACTAAAGCAGTCAATCCAATACTATCAATATATGGTACTCTATTGACCTAATCAGTTATTCGCTCTCATAGGATCAAAGCAGAATCAATAATCTTGACTAAAGCAGAACTGAATCATGAAAACATGCATAGATTGAATATGAACTGAAGATTATCAAGTAAGATTACTCATACAATCATCCAATCAAACAAACATAGCTAGGGTTCATCAAAACCTAAGAGAAGGGAAGTTACTCCATAGAGAAGAGAGAGAATGAAGAAATCTGATCTAGATCTTCATTCTCCATCTCCAAGCTTGTTTTCCGAGCTCCAATAGTGAAGAAATCCTCCAAAATAGATCATAGATTGTTCCCAAAGTGCTCTCAGAAGCCAAGTTATACAGCTCTCAGAAGCCAAGTTATGGCCCCAAGTTACGGCCGTAACCTTTGGGGTTCAGCCCGTAACTTCTGGAATGATTCTGCCTCCCATGGCCCCGAGTCGCGGCCAAAATGCCGGAGTTACGGTCTTGGCCATAACTTTGATGGCCAACCCGTAACTCTGGAGAGGCTGCTGTCTTTCGGTCATATCTCCCTCATCCGAACTCTCAATCAATCGTCGTTTGATCCCAGACGCTCGTAGTATCGTCTTTTTCTTTACATGCCTAGATTACATGATTATCTGTCCATTAAATGAGGTAAAAATCCATTCTTCTTTGGGTCATACCCGAGTTTCTTCCCCCGAGTCGCCAATTGATCTCCGATTGACTTGAAACTTGCGCCTATGCTTCACTTTACGTGCTAGGACCTTAAATGTAACAAATGAACACAGCCTAGCATAAAATAGGCCAAAGTATGATAAATAACAAGCTAAAAAATCAAGAAATGAGGGATAAAACATGTACAAATTCCGTGTTATCAGAAACCTCGCCGAACTGCCTAATGTTCACGGTTTGTGGCTCCAGTTCCCGGTATTAGGAGACCGTGAACTCCCTTATCTGACCATGAACTTTGGCTGCTTCCTGGACACATGCACTTCAGACTTTCTTGCTTTCTGACCTCCAATTATCACAAAATTCAGACTTTTCTTCGGTTTTGCGCTTTTTGACCTCCAATTATCCCAAAATTCGACCTCGACCCTTCCACACGTGCTAGGACCTGAAATGTTTCAAAACAAGCGCAACCTAGCGTGAAATATGTCGAGGAACGATGAAATGCAAAGTCAAACTATCAAGAAATGAGTGGGGAAATGTGTACATTTGGACCCGAATCATTGCCCAAGGGTTGTTCTTCGTCGCTTTCTTTCTCTAGGGTTCTCACTCTTCTCTTTTGAACTAAAAAATACAAATTCCTTTGCCTTTTGCATGAGCTGGTCTTTTGATAGTAGAAATTTTGCGAGTTACAGGCAAATTTACGACGTAACTTTAAAAAACTCTGCGTTTCAGTAGTCTCTAACTCAGGAATTACGGTTTATCCAAGGAAGGTACGGGCTTGACTGTAGCCTTAAGGAGGGGGCCGTAACTTCAAAAGCGCTCCTGAAACCTTTGTCATCGCTTCCCCAGAGTTACGAGTGTTGAGTTGAAGTTACGGTCATGACCGTAACTTCATAGGTTGGCCCATAGCTTCAAAAATGCTTTGGGATTCCCGGCCTTTTGGTTCTCCGAAGTTACGGGCTTACGAGTAAGTTATGGTCCAGACCATAACTTTCAAGGTCTGGTCGTAACTTTTCCCTCCTCTCTGCCCGTTCGCTTAAAAATGTTCCAAAACTTGCCCCGTCGCACCCATTCACATGTTAAGGCTTGAAATAGGCCACGAGAGCGAGAAATATGCCACGAGAGCGGGAAAGCATAAAATAGGCCACGAGTGCGAGAAAGCGAGCTCAAATGATCACGAAATGATGGGAAAAACATGTTCAAATGCAGTGTTAGCACCACGCATGTCCTGGATAGACCTGATACCCCTTAGCAACTACTCGACATCCATAAGGCCTGCAAAGAAGGAAACAGAATAGAAATGATTAATAAATAAATCAAAAGGCGAGAATGCATTTTGTATATATATGACGTATCTCCTACCCTCCCCATACGCATGAACGACTAGACTCCTTATGCGCTCTTTTGTATCAAGATCAGTTGGGGGTCATCTAATAGCCGCCAAAATTCAGGAGGAGCTTCCAGCGCCCTTAAAACCTCTGCAAATTCTCAAAGTCAATCTCCTTTGGTAGCGGGCTCCCACCAACCGCAGTCGGGTAGGAGCAGAGTGAAAAAAGAGAAATTTCTTCCATCAAAGCATCGTCACAATCTTTGCCACCGCCCCAAAGGGTGAGCACCGCTCAGTTGAAGACCTATAAGATCATCGCTCCAAACTCCACGAGCAGCTTCCTGAGCGAGCCTTATGAACAATGAAGCAAGCATAAAAATGATCATCGGTGGGGTCAATACCCAATGAATTGCACCGAGAAATAAAAGCAGCAACATACGCCCAAAATGTGGGGGCAACCGAGCTAAGAGCCATCTTTGCATCCATCATCACCGTGCTTAACCAACGAGGCAGGGGGCACGCAAGCCAAAGGTGAGTGACTCATTGTAGATGCAATGACACCCAGAATCCTCGAAAGTAGCACTGGCGGCTAACCCGTGGAGTGCGTACTCCCACTAATCGGGTATACCGTATGCAACCAACATGCATCGAAGGGCAGTTATCCCCGCTGACGAATCCGCATCCACCTCTATGTTGAGATAAAATTCTCCCACCATGTCATTCAAAGAGAAGGTCTGGCATAAGGAGCGCACCCAGTACCTCATCTCTGCGCCTGCATCATCGCCCACCCCTGATTGGGCTATAGTGCTCGCCATGACTTGCCTTCGAGACTGGTGCCTACCGTTCATTTCACTAGAACCTTGCCTCTGATGTTCGATAGACTCGTCGCCCCACACCGAACCTCTAGGCTCCCGCCTCTCTCCTGACCCGGAGGACGACGATAATGCCACACTACTGGTTTCGGTGCCCATTCCTGAGCATCATACCTAGAGGGTGGACTGGGCCCAGCATAAGAGCTCGCTGGTTTGGTCGACCCAACATTCCACCCAACAGCATCTATCATTGGTGCGGATGCCGACCCCACCCATCTCGACGAGGGCATCACCTGAGCCGCAACAGGCACCTCCTCCTACGATGTCACCTTGACCTCCTCCGAGGGCACCATCCTTTCGCTTGTAGACCCGGAGCTTGAAACTGTTCACCGACAAGCCATCTAGTGACATATGATGAAAATAAATAGAGAACTAAGTCCTTTTACCCCCACGCACAATTATGCTAAGACAATCTGACGACACTGGAGGAAGAGGGAAAAATAAAATACCTGGTGAAATCGGACCTTTAGCTTCACGACACCGCATAGGTAGCTCCCCTCTCATCGATGCCCACCATGTTAGAGTTTCCCATGGAACAAAGAAAGAGAGGGAGGTGCACAATCTTTTCTAGGAGATTTCCTACGCGGTCCCCGATCAGTCTTCATTCAAAGTCCTAAAGGTGCACAATCTCCTTGCCTATCATCCCTACGGAAACGAGCACGGTCTTCCAGGATCCCTCTCCCTTCTACACACCCAGAAGACCACGGGCAGACAATCTCCCACCATAAACTGTCTGAATCACCTCCGGAATCCGTCAAACGCCAACCTTTGAAAAGTGATTTACCACTGACTTTCCCTTGGGAATCCAATAATTCCTGTCGAAAAGGGGGGCTATAGAGAGACCCCACGTAAAAATATTTTTACCACGTCATGAGTTCACCGCCTGCAACGCATATAGAGCTCACCGCCAAGGCCGCTCACGATGCTCACCACCCACGACGTTCATCACCATCAGTGCTCACTAGTTCTCATAGCCAACGGCGCTCGCCGATCATGGCGCTCAGCTCCCTTAGTGTTCATCACCGACGAAGCTCACCAATCTTGTCCCCCATGGCGCTCATTGCCAATAGCGCTCGCCGACAGCTCTCACCAGTTCTTACCGTCCTCGTCGCTCGTTGGTCTCGCCGCCCATATACTCTTCGCCGATGGCGCTCACTGGTCTCGTCGCCCATGGAGCTCATCCTTGACGTTGCTCACCGATCTCGTTGCCTGTGGTGCTTACCTCCCTCGGCGCTCACCGACGCTCACGGCGCCCACTCGACCACTGACTCTAGCCTTTTCCCTTACGTGGCACCCTTATTGGGCCATGACTTGCCACATGGCGTGTGCGCCTAAACGTGGCACGGAAATGCATGACATGTGACGAGCGGACACATGAGGGGATGATACCTCCTTCGAAACGCGTCGACCCTAACCCACGACTCCGCCGCGTGTCCTCGGTTGTCCCCCGGATGACTACTATAAAAGGTGCCTCTCATCTTCCAAGAAAGGTAAGCAACAAAGGCCCCGACAAACTCCCTTAAAGAGTCTGCTACTACTAGCGACTGGAGCTACCGCTCGCCCAGACACTCCTCTCATACTCTAAGTCCTTAGCTTCATTTTTCCCCTCAACTTACCACTCGATACTGACTTGAGCGTTGGAGGGTGTCCCCGCCAAGATCGGTCAGCGGGCCTTTTACAGAAGGTGGTGGGATTCGGCGTCACGAGCGAAGATTGTGGTGTAAGGTGGTTTGAAGCCTCTCTCGGTGCCTGTAGCAAGAAATCTGACATCGACGACAACCCCGACATCAACAGCCGCCTAGTAGCGACTAGTGTGTTCTGGGCTGGCCAGTGGTTTGAGTATGATGTTATCTAGGTTTACGATTTTTTGGTATAGACTAGGTTTTAATATGGACCGGATTGATCCAGTTTTTCACCTATATCTAAGATCAAAGATGGGATTGGATTGTTTAACATCCAATCTCGATCTCAAACTGTTTGAGTTGTGCGTGTTCGATTTCTAGTTAAACTATAAAGGTAGGACCACGACAGGAAAGAGGCGCATGCAAGCGCTACAGGGGGAATGGATCCCATGCATACCTTGTGGTGAGCAACCATACATAACCCAATCTCAATCCGCCACATCAGCGCCCCTTCTCTCTCCTGAAAAGCCTTTAATTTTTCCCTCTTAAATCTTTAACGGACGATTTCTCATTCATATTAAGTTGGAATTTAATTTTTTTAGCACAGTTAGATCAGAGTAATTGTGCTCTTCAAAATGATATCCACTTTGATATATTTTTGAAACAAAAAAATGAGTCATTTTTACCAGTCTATACTATATGGTATTAACTAGTATTAAATAAGATTATACTATATGGTATGAAAAATGCCACTCCATACGAGGGTGGTATAGTATAGTATGGAGTTGGTAACAAGAGGTATGGAATTTTTCACCCAGAAATTGTTAGATCCCATATATCATAATTAACTCGTTTCTTCTGTGTAAAAATTTTCGAAAATGACTTAAAAACGATTAAGATATCATATGGTATGGGATTGGTAATGAGAGGTATAAAAAAATTCTCAAAAAATATTGAAAATGAATCTCATTTTGTAGAGCACAACGAACTCGTTCCAACTGTGCAAAAAATTGAAATCCAAGTTAGAATGAAGAAGATATGATCAAGGTAAAAAAATAGGAAAAATAAAATAGATTTATTTCATCCACCCTTAGATCAGTAACCACTTGTCTAGATTTAGTTATTCATAGTTATGTACCCTAAAGTTATGCACCCTATCTAGAGCCCGTTACAAGGGTAGAATTGGTTACAACACAAATAACATATAACATGACCGTTTTTTATTTCTTGACGGTTACAACACAAATAACAGGACCATTTTTTTTTCTCCTTCTTCTATGTTTTCTTTACTCTATTCTTTTCTTTTTTACCGGATAAAGAATCTTACACAAACACCTGTGCATTATCTTGATCACCAAGGCTTTGTCGGGATTCCGTGGTAGAAAGGCAGCGGGAGTGAGGAAATTTTTTTTTGAAAGAGGGAGTGAGGAAGAAGTGTCGGCTGGGGTCGCTTATTTTATTATATTGTGACAATATTTTATAATAACAGAATACTTATATTTTACTTTATTTGCCCCCCTAATTTTTCATCCAAACAACAATTTACCCTTTCACTTACACTCTACCAACCCTTGCAATTTATCTCTCAACTTGCACACTTTAAGAAGAGCAGTTTCACTTGTCGATTCTTTGTTTGTTTTTTCTTGGGGAAGTTCCTTGCCAGGCGCTAGTAGAAGCGAACTGCTCTCCACCCTCGCGATGATGATGCATGTATGGGATCAAATCCTAACGTTGCCGCTGCTGAAAGCCAGGGTTTGGTTTCTTGCGATGGGGTTTATTCTGAGATTTGGGATGGGCTCTGGAGATGGGTTTTTTGGGATAGCGGAGGAGGGTGCAGGGGAAGATACCTATTTGGGTTTCTGTTATTTGGTTGAAATCGCGGGAGGTTAGTCATTGGATCTCATAATGAGATGGTAAATTATGTGAATTGGAGATTAAATGGAAAATCTGGTCATGTTCGGCATTTTGTTGAGTTTTAGGTTCCAGATTGGTTGAAAATTGATATTATTTGTGGTTGGGAACATATGAAGGTTTCATATGGATTTAGAAGTATACTTATTATTTGTGGCATTTGATTTAAAATTAATATTTTTTAGATAGTTAAAATCGAGTACTAAGTGCATTTATTGAGTAACTTGTAACTTAGTATTAGGAACGAATATAGTCTTATTGATCCAAATGCGTATAACTATGAATAAAAATTTTCATTTCCTTTAAAATATCTATGTATTCCCTAACATTAAGTAACCAGACTCATTCACACCAATTGCAGCATTGAAATTCATGATTCAAATGCTCATATATTTTTTAAATATTCATGACATTTTTTCTCAATCATGAATATTTATTTAGAAAATTATATTTTCTCAATGAGTGATTGTATGTTTGGGGAATGAAGTGCTTTATTTCATTAAATTTTGAGGAAATATTAAGAATATTTTACAATTTAGTCATTATAATAGTCTTCAACTGTCCTCATACGTCAGTGTAAGCGCTCATCAACCACATAAGTTCATACAAATGAACTTTAAGAGTGACTACGGTATATGTAGTAAGTGAATAGTTAAATATGACTGATTTCTACATATAAATATAAGTGAGGAGGTAGCAATGGATTTAACGGCCTTATTAGGTGAAATTTGGGTATGTTTACTCCTGTGGTGAGAGATAGCTTTGACAAATTTTCTCTTTGTACCAATATTTCTTATAATTATTTACTAAAGCTCTTTGAAGGCGTCAACAACTAGATTTTCTTACAAGCATGTGCAACTTGTGTTCAACTTTGGAGCCATTCATTCTCCAATCTTGCTTGCGGCATTTGCATCTCCGTCCGCTCTAAAATTCATCATTGACCATCTATCTTTGCTTTTGAAGAGTTCTATCGTACTGAATAGCTTTAGAAAATAAAATTCTCCACAATTGCACCTCGTGTTGAACCCTTAAGTTGATGTGGTTCAATATATGTAGTTAAACACAATAAAATTAGTTACATGCGTACTATCATCTCAAATACTCTTGCTAAACTTAGGTTTAGAGTAATGAATGCAAACATTAAAAACCCTTCCTTAAAACGAATTGTACACATTGTTCGACTAAAGAGATAGATTCATTTCACTCACTTTCATTGAAAATGGTAAAAAAATTCACAAATATATATATATATCAAGGTTGCTATCTTGAATGTATTCTTACTGTAGTGTCTCTCTCTCGTTTGAATTGGGTCTTTTATGATTACTATGATGGTGAGAGCTATAGAAGAATCACTGCAATGTTGTTGATCATATTTAAGATATGTCGCTTGAACACTAAATAGAAACCAACACATTTTTCAGTTAAGTGCTTGTGACAAATCTCCAAAATGCCCTTTGTCGTTCAAATAATGTAATTTCAATGTAGAATTCATACAATGATAAACAAAGCATATAAAAATTGGAAGAAAAAAATTCATGATACATTAAACTCCGTCAAAGGACAATCATTTTCTTTTACACTGGAAATAGGTGATAGAAACCAACTTCGTTAGGATTTCTATATTTATTATTATAATTATTAAAAGGGTAATTCTTATTATGGTTAGTAGTATTCCAGTAGAATTAGGTTTATTAGTAGGGTTTTCCTATATTCGCTATAAATATGTACTAGGCATATTCATTCGGGATCAATAAGAAGAATATTAAGAAAAGCCTTCCTAAACCCTATTCACCCAATCCTCTCAATTCTCGTTCCCAATCCCTCAAAAGGCCTAGGCCGATTCTCTATCTTTCTCTTCTCAAACCCTAATTCTGTTCTTTAATCCCTAAATCCCAATTTCACAATCCGATCGATAGAATCCTTAAACCAGGTTCTATCATTTGGTATCAGAGCTTGGCTGCGAGCATGAGTTCATCACAGGGGGACTGCTATCGTAAGTTGCACGAGAAACTAATCAAGCTCAGGGTTGCCCTCAAAAAGAGGAAGGAGGAGTGGCAACGGCGGTCGGCAGAGCAACTGTGGTTGATGGAAAGGATCTTGCAAATCCTCGATTCGCCTCGACGAACCAAGCCACCAGCCACCACCGTTGTAGCTTCACAACCACCACCTACAGAAGCGTCAATGGCGCCTGGATCTACAGCAGCTGTTGTCGTTCCATCGTCACCGGCTCCACCCACTGCTGGACCATGCGTTTTCACTAGCATCACCAAACACACAACCATCAACAACAAGGACTTGTCCTCGGTTAAGATGGTGACACCATTATCATCAATCGTTGTTGCCGTCCCGAGAACAGAGTCACCACCGCAAAGCACTATTATCACTTCTCACAGGACTAAAAAGCCGTTTGCGGCTGCGATGGTTGAGATCGCCGATGTGGACCAAGAAATAGATCTGGTCGCTACTGCTACGTACGGTTCACGACGAGGAGAGAGCGGTCTCCGCCAAAGAAGAATCTTCGACTAGTGGATCGGAGAGAATTGCGATGCTGAGTCGCGTTGCAAACTGGCGATACCGGAAGAAAGGATCGAGGTCCGACGAAGAAGAGATGATGGTCGCCATGACGGTGATTGGCACCGCCAGATCCGTCGTCGTAGCCACATCTGCGCAGACCGCCGGGGCTTCAGTGGTTCAGAATGTCAGGATTCCCGAGGGTCGCTCCCTATTGGAGGATCTCTGGCTCGACAGTGACCAACGACGCAAGAAAGAGGCTCAGCTCGGCGGAGGACGTGGAGCGGAGGAGGTAGTGTTTTTTGCGGCGATGGCCGGCGGGAGAACGGCAGAAGCTCGAAGATCCGAGTAAGATCGGTGGAGCTCAAAGACGACGAAGGCTCTTCTCCCTTTGCGACAGGCGACCAAGTTACCTCGTCGGAGTTGCGAACATCGTCGGAGGCGCCACTAGCATTGGCGGCTCCAACGGAGATTACGACGGACCGGGTTGACTCACAGAATTCCGAGCGTAGGAGAGGTGCCACCAGCGTCGGCGACTCCAATCGGAGAGGCATCGACAAACGTGGAGAAGAAGCCAGAACCGAGAGTGGCGTTGGATTTCAGCATTACTCGCAACCGCCGGGTGGAAACGTCGGCAGCGGGTGGCGCGACGAGGAAGAAGAAGGCGAAGAACGAGGATGGCGGCGGTGATGACTCTTCCTTCATCCCATCGGGGGACGGGGAGGCGCACACGTCGGAGGGAGTCGTGGACACGGCGCGGGCGACAAGTAGAGGGATGGCTGATCAGGTGGTTCACCGCGAGCGAAAAGGGGAAGCACGGAAGCCGGTGGCGGCCATCGACGAGGAGGTGACGCCGGATTCACGATGGGCGTCCCGCCGGAGGAGCTGTTGGCCTGAGAAGAGGACGAAGAGGGAGTGGAGGAGGGCGGCAACGACTGCTCCCTTCTCCCGAAACCTAGCTCGCCCACTTTGGGCTGGCCGTACCAGTAGCCATTGTTGGGCGGAGTGACGCGGGCCGCAGGCTCTATTGGGCTCAATAGAGTGGTCTGGTTTGAGGAAAGCTCAATGCAGACTCGGTTGACCTGCGAGAAGGGGTTAGTGGGCCTAATTCTTGGGTCACAAATGGGCCAGTTTGGCAGTCGGGTTGTAAGGATAGAGGGAGTTGCTGGGCTCGACTCGGGCCATGAGAGTCAGGAAGGGTGTGAGCCCAACATGGGCTGTGGGTTGAGAAAGGTGAAATTGGAAGAAGGATTTGGAGGCTTAGTGGGTGGGCTTTCAAGGAAGAATGGCACAGAAGCAATTGGAGAAGCGTTAATACAGGCTTATGAGCCTTCTCCAAGAAAAAAGTTCAGGGGCCTTGAGGAATTGGCACTTAATGATAGATTCCTATACGAGGAAGTATCCTTAAATTCTGTAAGTGGTTGGAGTAGGATGAAAACAAGAGAGGAGTTGCTGAAGTTCGAAGCGATTAATGGGCCCATAGAACTGAAAGTCGAAGAATTAAATCAACACAAGAAAGTCGGTGGAAGAAGCCCAATATCGGAGTTAGAGCACGATTGGTAGAAACGAAAGCGCAAGAAATGGAGGAGTCAGCATGCGAATTGGGCGGGAAAGAAGGAAGAGTGGGTCAAGACGGTCAACCTTGGGGCCAAGGTTGGTTTGAAGGGGGAGGAGATGATAGAAACCAACTTCGTAAGGGTTTCTATATTTATTATTATAATTATTAATAAGGTAATTCTTATTATGGTTAGTAGTATTCTAGTAGCATTAGGTTTATTAGTAGGGTTTTCCTATATTCGCTATAAATATGTACTAGGCATATTCATTCGGGATCAATAAGAAGAATATTAAGAAAATCCTTCCTAAACCCTATTCTCCCAATCCTCTCAATTCTTGTTCCCAATCCATCAAAAGGGCTAGGCCGATTCTCTATCTTTCTCTTCTCAAACCCTAATTCCAATTTCACAATCCGATCGATAGAATCCTTAAACCAGGTTCTATCAGTAGGTTATGTATGTATCATACGAAGTAACTTGCATGTTGTCATTTATTGACTTTTTATATAGACAGGACTTTGCTTACATATATGTCACTATTAGTTTCATTTCTTTGTTATTCATTTTGTCTTTCTCATGTTTTCAATAGTTCTAAGCATATAAATATCAAAACAAATGTGAATGACACATATAAATTATATAACCATCAAACCCTCCAATCAACAAGACGCGACTTGTGCTAGTATATCGCTAGATCCCATCATCGTTCTCCCCTACAACTTCCCATGAGTGGAATCCCCTAATGCTGCTATGCTAGATCCATCCAAAACAAGATGACAGACCATTATCCTTACCAGGGATAGCAGAAAGACCACTCCAATCCACAGCGTCTCCGGCCTCCCCTACTCACCGCTATGTCTCTCTCTTTTCTCTCTCTGTCTTCTCGCATGGTCTCATACAGAAATAAGGTTTTCCAAAACGATAACACCAAACTCATCACTAAATAAGAATTGTAGCTTCCAAAATGTTAGGAGAAATCAACGAGAAATTTGCATAAATCCGGAGCACAAAGTCCATCAGATGGATTATTAAAGATTATACATTCGTCGAAACGATAACACCAAATTCAGTAGATATGACTCTAGTATAGCCGACATTCCCAATTTGTGTGTATATATTCCAACTCCTTTGGTTCATCGAAAAGATATCTCCTTGGACACTTCCTCACAGCTTCATCAGTCAAGACTTTGTATTTCCTGACAACTTCACGAGCATTCTTCTCATCATCATCATCGTCAAAACGATGAAATTGCGTAGTTGCACCCTTCTCCTGGGCTTCCACTCTGTTTATATAATCGATCAGTACTTCACTCTCAAATTCTCTATACAGTTCAAGCTCTTCCTTATAAAGGGTCGAATAGCGCCTTAACTTCCTCATCAGCTCCCCTATAAAATACTCTTCCTCGACGAACTCTGAAGGGACTAACAATCTGACCTTCTCCACCAGTTTTTCCTTGACATCATCTGTGTATTATTCAATATGCAAATAAGGGAGGCAATAATAGCATCAGAGTGACTAAAGATTACAAAATAAAAAAAACCAGTTTAGTACCTTTATTTTTTTCTATTGTGATTGCAGTACTGTTGTAACAACAAACGTACAATTACAACACCATGAAAATGAAAACCGAAAACATTTGTAGTCCATATTCTAGAAAAAAACATGGAAGTTGAGAATTTTATATGTTTATTTGCTTTTTAGGTCTTGTTTAGTATCAATGTTGAGACGAAAACAAAAGTAGAAAATAATGGGAGAAATTATGCAGCATGACAATTTATGAAAATTTGAGAAATAAAAACAAAAGAAAAAATAATGTTGACAATAAGGTTTCGATGATGAGTCATGTAAAAATGGAATTTGAAAATTTTATATGTTTATTTGCTTTTTAGGTCCTGTTTAGTATCAATGTTGAGACGAAAACAAAAGTAGAAAATAATGGGAGGAATTATGGAGCATGACAATTTATGAAAAAATTGAGAAATAAAAACAGAAGGAAAAATAATGTTGACAATAAGGTTTCGATGATGAGTCATTTAAAAATGGAGGGAGAAATAATATTTAGAAAGTGGTTGGATCTAGTGAGATTCATTCTTAGACTCATTTGAGTGAAATTATTACAGTAACTGATACGATTCTACAAGGAACAGTTTTGGAAACAGCCATGAAACTACTTATTATTGTTTCACATTTTTTCAACTACTTTATGTTGTGTTGCCAACTTTTGTTTCTAGAAGATCAAATGAAAACATAACTAAACATGTTTTTAGTGTTGTGATTTCATACATAAAAACTGAAAAATGACACTAAAGTTCTTGGGTGGGAAAACTTGCCTGGAAGAATGAGGTTGGCATAATTGTCGAAGTATTCGGCTCTGGTTTTTGTATACTCCAATCGAGGTGATCTGCACCTCACATTTGGATACGCGTTCACCATGTGATCATGCTTCCCTGACAGCCTCATCTTCAGAAGCTTTTTCCTTGATCGCAGGAAGCAAATGCTGTTTGCCTTTGATGTATTCCCTCAACAAGTTCTGCAACTCTACAATCCAATCTATACAATCCAAGACCATAAGCTTCATTATCCCAAAAATAACGGGTAATATCAAAGTTCTAATAAAATTTGATTTTTGAAAAACTCATGGGGTATATGGGGCTTTGAATTCATTATGGATTTGAAAAACATCATTGTTGGTTTTATAGATTTCATGTAGGAGCATTTCTGCTATGCTATATAGTATTGGTGCTTTAATGTACAACTTAAAGTTGTACCATAACATGAAATGTATAAGTTTAGATTGTACCATAAAAGAATTTGTATCATTATGTTATGGTACAACTTTAAGTTGTAAAGTTGTACCATAATATAAATGTACAAGTTCAAGTTGTACCATAAAAGAATTTGTACAAACAGTATAGGTATAATCTAAAGTTGTACCATAACGTAAATGTACAATTTCAAGTTGTACCATAAAGGCAAAAACCTATAGCACCAATACTATATAGCATTGTAAAATTCCTCTTCATCTAGTAAAATTTGTATGGTAAAAAAGTATATAGGAGAGATCATTTCTCATATGAGGTGGGATATTCAAGTCGTTAGAGCTAGAGCTTACGGATCCGTGAGTCCCACAAATACAATCCATCAAGAAACAAAAAACAGAGAGAATAACTAGTTAATTTTACCTCCCCTGAGGATTATCGCTTCTTTCTCTACATAGACACCCTGAAGCTCCTCCGGCAACTCCTCATTATTGTTTTCAGCCCTGAACTTGAGAATAGATTCCTTTATCAAATCGGGGAGCACATCCCTCCCTACGCGGCCCTTGAAGTAGCTGTTCATCAAATTCTTGAACCCTAGAAACCAATCTAACCTCCCCCGGTTCCAAAAACCAGAATTAAGAAAGAAAATCTGCGATCAGTAAGATATATTCTTCTCAACCTGCTTCGACGAATCATATATTTTTCTTTTACCTAGGTGTTGATCCGTAAGGACCTCGACCTTGAGCTGCTCCAGCGCACATAACTCCTCGGCCGGGTACGGCCTAGCAGAAGCTGCAACAGCCGGCGACGGAGGTACGACTGAGCAAGGAGGATTAGAGCCTACAATGTTGCGAGACGAAAGGAGGAGGAGCGGACGCCAAGCTACCAAGTTTCTCGACAGCGGGGATGGCCGCGGCGGCAGCAGCATCTTCTCGATTGGGAGAGGAGTTTGACGGCAGAGGCGATTGACTGCTTCCGGATCGCCTAGAGCGTAAAGATAACAGAGGGTTACCGAATGTTGCCCTAGTGTTTATAAGGGTCTATTCTTTAGACTACAAGCGGGTTGGATCAGTTGCTTAAACCCCAAATTTTGAGGATTTTAAACTCATTCTACTCAATAGGAGAAGGAGAGAGGTAAGCAATAACAATGATTGATTAACTATCCAAAAGGGCACGGAAGGAATAAAAAAATATTTAATGTCATTAATAATTAAAATCAATAGGTTAAAAAAGGAAAACCAACTTCCCCTTTTAAATTCGACAGCTAATTAATACGAATATTACAAATCAAAAATAGAAATCTGAAATTGACATTTAATATTTGAAAAATAAAATTTTAAAAGATAAAATATCTACTCTCTTTGTAGGGACTTGCAATAGCATTATTAATCTTTTCACTCGTATTATTAATGCTTATGAAATAAATAATTAATAATATAACTATTATTATTAACTATTTCAATAAGCCTATCAATGTTTTACGATTACATTGTTAACAGTTTGTATCAATTGTTAACAATTTGTATCAATTCTGACCGATTTACATTTTCATCACCAACGTTTACGATGAAATTATTAACTTTGTACCACATCATTATTAATGATTAAACCATTGTTATCATTGAATTACAACATATTTATTAACAATTCAAATTTCCATGACAAATCTCCACGTTATGACCTCTTAAAATGACTTCTAATGATATTGTTAACTTTTTGCGATCAATGGATATCACATTATCGCTTTACATTATCGTTCTTTTTTTTTTTTTTGACAAAAGATAATCATATATTGATCTGAATCAAAATGATAGTTACACCCTGGAAGCCAGCCAGGTCTGGAAATCAAAATAACGACACGTAGTCGGGAACAAAGAAAGGGCCTTTCTAGCTAGCATATGAGCTACCCTATTGTCACCCCGACCTACAAATCGCACAGTAAAGCCCGGATTTTCCCTGAAAATCTGAATCATTTCCTCCAAAATAGCCCCTACCCGACTGTCTCACACATCAGCCCTACAGATCTTATCAATGACCACCTTGGCATCCCCTTCAAACCGCATGACCAGAAACCCGTGCGCTAAACACCAACAGATAGCTTCTCTAAGCGTAAGTAGCTCCACCACCATTGGATCCTCCAGGTTAGGAAACTGAACCCCCGCAGCCCAGGGCGACGTCCCTACATCATTGAGAAGTACCATACCACCTGCAGAATGCGACCCTCGTCGAACAGCCCCATCCCAACGACACACAGGTCCCCCTGGCTCGCTCACTACCACCGCATGGCGATCAGGCAGATGAGAAGAGGGTGAGGGTCCCTAGGCATGCCAAGCCACTCCCCTACTTGTTGGTTATACTGCCTCAATAATGCTGGAATGCTGAATTGTTTTCCTTCGAAGACCACCCAATTTCGGGATCTCCAAATTCACCACAGGATAGCAATTACCGCCATGAACTGCGAAGGTTGATGTAAGATAGCCAGCAATTTCTTAAGGAAGAGGGGGAATGTATGACGGGGCAATCCCTCTCCAAGAGTATCCAACCCCGCCTGCGACCACAGAGCCCTAGCCACAGGGCAATCAAGGAATAAGTGCTCCATTGTCTCCTTTGAAGCCCAGCATACAGGACATCAGGGTAGGACTTCCACGTCCTTTTCTATAAGAGCCTCAGTCGTTGGTAAAATTCTCGTTAAGATTTGCCAGACAAACACCTTTAGTTTCGTAGGAATATTTGCTTCCCAAACCCGGATCCAACTCCGCTTGTCCATCCAACTAACCTGCGCCAGCCATCTCCCACTCTGCTGGTCCAGACAAACCGCCAAATGATAAGCCGATTTGACAGTAAAAATTCCATCCTCTGTGGCATGCCAGATTAATCGATCCTCTACATTCTGCCGTGGCAGGGGTATCGCCTTAATTGCCTGGCAAGTCAGAGGGTCAAACCACTGACTCAGCTTATCATCGCACCAACGCCCTTCCCCGGGACAGAGGACATCTGAGACCGTCATTTCTCCATCATCCGGCAAAACCCAAGGATTATACACAGGATAAGAAGGAAGTTGAGTCGGTATCCTGTTTGAATTAAGCAAAGGAGCCTTCTGACCATTCCCAATCTGCCACCGCAACCCCATGGCCAATAACTGTCGACCAAAGAGAATCCTCTGGCCACTAAGCTCCTCATACTCATTAAGAACTTCTATCAAATTCTCACACTCCTGGAGGGACCCACGGAGAAATAAGTAGGAGTCATCAGCAAAGAACAAATGAGATATGCGGGGAGCCCGCGGGGCCACCTTCACTCCTTCCAATCTCTCCTCTAAGATGGCTTTACGAAGCAACGCAGCAAAGCCCTCCGTGCACAGCACAAAGAGAAGGGGAGAAAGGGGATCCCCCTGCCGGAGTCCCCTAGAGGGCGCAAAGAAACCAGCCGGAGATCCATTCATGAGGACCGAGAACGTGGAAGATTTCAAGCATTCAAGAATCCACCCACGCCAAACCGAATTAAACCCCATTTTCTCCAAAACCGCAAGAAGAAAGGACCACTCCACCCTATCGTATGCCTTTTCCATATCAACCTTAAGAGCCATGTACCCCTTTTTTCCCCGGGTTTTGATTTTCAAATAGTGCATTAACTCATGGCCAATCAGGATATTATCCACAATCTGTCTCTCCCTGATAAAGGCATTTTGGCCGTCTGAGACAATGCTAGGCAAAATCCCAGCATGCCGTTCCGCCATAATCTTAGAAACACCTTATATATGAACTGCCATAAACTGATAGGCCGAAGTTGACGCATAGACTCCACCTGGTCTACTTTTGGGATTAATGTCAACCAGGTGTGATTGAAACTTCGGAGCATCCTACTCGTCGCAAAGAAGGATCTAACCGCAGCCACCACCGAGTCTCCAACAATCCCCCAGTAGGCTTTAAAGAATTTTCCCGTGAAACCGTCTGAGCCAGGTGCCTGTTTTGAGCCCATTGCAAAGACCGTTTTGCGGATCTCATCAGGACACACCTCATCGGTTAAGGTAGCATTCATTTCTGGAGTTACATTGGAAGCAATGGGAAGGGCAGCCACCCGCTCTTTCATATCATCAATCTGAGATTCCGAAGTGAAGAGGTTTTGATAGAAATTGGTCGCAACGTCCGCCTTCCCTTTTTCCTCTGTGACCCACTCTCCATTGTCGTTAAACAGTCCTGCGACAAAATTTCTTTTTCGCCGGGTGCGCATGACCGTGTGAAAGTAGGATGAATTTTTATCCCCTCTTTGCAGCCAATGGACCCGCGATTTATGTTGCCAGTACTGCTCTTAGGCCTTCCACTGCCTATTCAAATCCGTTTCTAAATTTTGTCACTTCCTGCCAATTAATCGGATGAACAACTTTGATTTTGGAAATTTCATTTTGCAAGGTATGGATATTGCACAGGGAGTTTGTGGTACCCGCTCGGCTCCAATCGTAGAGCAAATGCCGGAGTCTTTTCAACTTTTCCCACAACTGAAACATCGGAGTACCCTGGATTTGATCCTGCCAAACATACCTTACCATAGCCTTGACTTCAGGGTTCTCTGCCCACCTAGCATCAAATCGAAATAGGGGGCGACACATACGGACATATGGTTTATCAGACAGAAGTAGAGCCCGATGGTCAGATCCTTGATTCGTGAAGTGTTTCACTAGAGTATCCAGAAAACGATCCAGCCAACGCTGGGAGCACAGAGCCCTATCCAGCCTTTCCCGAATACAAGCCGCCCCCATTCGTTTGTTTGTTCAAGTAAAATAATCACCCTGGTACCCAGGGTCATGCAACCCAAGGTCTTGGACCAAATTACGAAGGTCGAGAGCTTGAGAAGCATTCCAAGGATTCCCACCGTCCTTCTCTCCTTCATTAAGGGTCACATTAAGATCACCAATTATCACAAAGGGATCCTGAAGGCCTTCACAGATCTCAAGGATATGCACCAGTTGTGCCGTCCGCAAAGCGATATTGCTATCGTTCTCAGTGATCAAAAAGTACAATGTTTATTTTTGACATCTTCTATACTTGTGACATAGTGCACCTATGATCCAATATTCAATAACGAGATATCAATCATTGATAACGAAATTGTATTTCATTGAAAATAAGCACAAAAATGTTTAAAACAATGTTGTATTTTGTTGGAAACAAAAATAATTTTTTTAAGGAATTGCACAAAACGTATCAATGCTTTAAGATTGTTAACAATTTTTGATCGATTTGTTAACTATTTACATTTTCATCATCAATACTTATGAAAGAATTATTATAGTTATGTAATATCATCATTAATTATTTGAATAACACTATCATTGATTTACAATATTTTTTTATAACGATTCACGTTAGCACGTCAGGTTCATAACTAGCCAATCATGGCCTCTTACAACGACTTTCAATTACATTATGAACGTTTATGCAATGAATTATTAATGATATACCTATCATTATTAATGGTTGTATATGCTAATCAATGCTTAATATTATAAGAGTTTACATCGAAATGTTGATAATGAAAATTTTAATCATTAATTACTAAGCTGTGTTGGAGTTAAAAATATAAGTGAATTCGTTGATAATGATTGCATCAAAGGGAAAACCCTCCATAAAACGAGTGGAAGAGGGAATTGTTGATTATGGGGGATAAATATTAACAATGCGGAAAATATTAAAAATGGGAATTGCAAACATTAAAATTTACACATTGATAACTTAACAACGCAAGCAAGAAATATTCAAAGTTATCAACAAAGCTAGAAGGATAATAATGACACCGAAACCTATTGATATGTTGATAATGACCCGAAACATATTGATGACCAACGGAAATCGCGCCCGGGAAGCGCTAGGGAAAAAAGGAATAGGTTGCCGCTGCTCGTGCGATGAAGAAGAACACCGGGGCCAGAAAGCTGCACGATCAGGCTGCTGCTTGTGCGACGGGGAACAGGGCAACGGGCTGGGGAAACCAGTAAGCTGCTGATGTGGGACGCCGCAACGCCGGGAAACACTGGGGAGTGGGGACAGAGCGCGGCCTAAAGGGAAACTGGTTTTCGGTTTTCGGCGAACAGGAAGTTACGGTGCCGACGGCGATGACGGCCGGATACTGCTGACGAATGGACAGCCGGAAAACATAGACAAAGAATCCCCGGCGGCGGAGAAGCTGGTGACTGCTTTACATGTTGATGAGAGTATCCTGTTATGCCGAGAGGGAGAAAAACCGACAGGTTGAGACGTGGATTTCAAAAACAGTAGGTTTATTATTCATATTTTATATTATTGATAATTCCTAGCATACCCTCAACGACTAATAACTCCTCAATAACCACCTAAACTCAAATAACCCAATCACAACAATTTAAGATCCTCCTTAAGAAAGAAGGCTTAAGGACCTGAACTTAGGAATGGGCGGGTTGGATCAGTTGCTTAAACCCCAAATTTTAAGGAGGATTTTAAACTCATTCTAGTCAATAGGAGAAGGAGAGAGGTAAGCAATAACAATGATTGATTAACTATCCAAAAGGGCACAGAAGGAATAAAAAAATATTTAATGTCATTAATAATTAAAATCAATAGGTTAAAAAGGAAAAAAAACTTCCCCTATTAAATTCGACAGCTAATTAATACAAATATTACAAATCAAAAATAGAAATATGAAATTGACATTTAATATTTGAAAAATAAAATTTTAAAAGATAAAATATCTACTCTCTTTGTAGGGACTTGCAATAGCATTATTAATATTTTCAATGGTATTATTAACGCTTATTAAATAAATAATTAATAATATAACTATTATTATTAACTATTTCAATAAGCATATCAATGTTTTACGATTACATTGTTAACAATTTAGATCAATTTTGACCGATTTACATTTTCGTCACCAACGTTTATGATGAAATTATTAACTTTGTACCACATCATTATTAATGATTAAACCATTGTTATCATTGACTTAGAACCTATTTATTAATAATTTAAATTTCCATGACAAATCTCCACGTTATGACCTCTTAAAATGACTCCTAATGATATTGTTAACTTTTTGCGATCAATGGATATCACATTATCGCTTTACATTATCGTTCTTAGTGATCAAAAAGTACAATGTTTATTTTTGACATCTTCTATACTTGTGACATAGTGCACCTATGATCCAATATTCAATAACGAGATATCAATCATTGATAACGAAATTGTATTTCATTGAATATAAGCACAAAAATGTTTAAAACAATGTTGTATTTTGTTGGAAACAAAAATAATTTTTTTAAGGAATTGCACAAAACGTATCAATGCTTTAAGATTGTTAACAATTTTTGATCGATTTGTTAAATATTTACATTTTCATCATCAATACTTATGAAAGAATTATTATAGCTATGTAATATCATCGTTAATTATTTGAATAACACTATCACTGATTTACAATATTTTTTTATAACGATTCACGTTAGCACGTCAGGTTCATAACTAGCCAATCATGGCCTCTTACAACGACTTTTAATTACATTATGAACGTTTATGCAATGAATTATTAATGATATACCAATCATTATTAATGGTTGTATATGCTAATCAATGCTTAATATTATAAGAGTTTACATAGAAATGTTGATAATGACAATTTTAATCATTAATTACTAAGCTGTGTTGGAGTTAAAAATATAAGTGAATTCGTTGATAATGATTGCATCAAAGGGAAAACCCACCATAAAACGAGTGGAAGAGGGAATTGTTGATTATGGGGGATAAATATTAATAATGCGGAAAATATTAAAAATGGGAATTGCAAACATTAAAAATTACACATTGATAACTTAACAACGCAAGCAAGAAAGATTCAAAGTTATCAACAAAGCTAGAAGGATAATAATGACACCGAAACCTATTGATATGTTGATAATGACTCGAAACTTATTGATGACCAACGGAAATCACGTCCGGGAAGTGCAAGGGGGAAAAAGGAATAGGTTGCCGCTGCTAGTGCGATGAAGAAGAACACCGGGGCCGGAAAGCTGCACGATCAGGCTGCTGCTTGTGCGACGGGGAATAGGGAAACGGGCTGGGGAAGCCAGTAAGGTGCTGATGTGGGACGCCGCAACGCCGGGAAACACTGGGGAGTGGGGATAGAGCGCGGCCTAAAGGGAAACTGGTTTTAGATTTTCGGCAAACAGGAAGTTACGGTGCCGACGGCGAAGATGGCCGGATACTGCTGACGAATGGACAGCCGGAAAACATAGACAAAGAATCCCCGGCGGCGGAGAAGCTGGTGACTGCTGTACATGTTGAGGAGAGTATCCTGTTACGCAGAGAGGGAGAAAAACCGACGGGTTGAGAGGTGGATTTCAAAAATAGTAGGTTTATTATTCATAATTCCCAGCATACCCTCAACGACTAATAACTCCTCAATAACTAATAACTCCTCACTAACCACCTAAACTCAAATCACCCAATCACAACACTTTAAGATCCTCCTTGAGAAAGAAGGCTTAAGGACCTGAACTTAGGAATAGGCCAAGCCCAGTGGTTCTCTTTCAGCGCTTAAGAGGAACTGATGTCGGGCTTTATGTTTCTTACATTTGGCAGCAAATGATCTAGCGGTTCCTATACCCGCTGAAAGGCCCAACAAATCAACACACACCTGTTTGGTAAGATATGAATACATCAAAGTTGGCAGCTGCATGCAGTCCTTGGGGGTATTGATAATATCTGGATTGTAATCAACTTTTTTTTTGCTTCTATTTGATTTGATTATCCATATTTTGTCTGGCTTGCATATGAACTTGTGGTATTATGCTGGTGTTGTTTAATGATGGCAGAAACTAGGTGCTAAGGTTCTCTATTCGCGACTCTTTTATACTTGGCCTGTACAATTATCACAGAATTCCTTCCAATTCTAATGCTATACAATTGAGTCCAGTTGTTACAAAAATAGAGGTTGCAGAACAGGGTAGAGAAACAAAGTAGTGTTGATGAGATTTTTTGGTGAGAGATAATGGTGGCCGGCGAGCCAACCAAAATTTTTTTCCCTCCCGAACAATCTGGTTTCACTGTTCCTGCCTCTTTGTTGATGAGATTTTACCAGCTCAATGATAGTTATAGGCATCGTTCTTTTCATAGTTGTAGGACTACAACTTCAGTTACGGACTATCAAAACTCGTGACCACAACTATCACAAGCTCTTGCAACATCATACATATTTTGTAATAGATACGACATAGTTTTGATAGTTAGAATGTTGTGGTGGTATTAGACCAATTATAAACCCAAATGCATAGTTATCTAAGTGTGAGTATCGGGTAGAGATGAATTAATCATATGAGTCATACGTACTCCGATGTTTTAAGATCAATGTCACGATTGTAAGCCTATAATGGAGGGTTTCTGCTTATGCAATGCAAGTAGCAGCTGGCACCAAATCACCATGAAAGAATTAGTTAACAGATTCCCTATGCAGTCAGTTACAGCAGCTTCCAAATAATTTTCTGCAATTAGCTGCTCAATCATTTCTCCACGGCTCATTTTGCCCTACCCGCATTAGTAATTATTCATATTCACTGGAAGTTCCTTTCAGTTGAGCTGTAATTATATAGATTAGCAAGTTAATTTGACCCAGCAGAGAAAGTGAGAAACCCATCTGAATTGATCCTTTCTTAGAACCAGCGACTGATATGAAAAACGTGACTGGATAGAGTTTGGCACAACAATGATTCAATGAAGAATGGAGACCAAAGATTGGTTCAAAAATGAGAAATAGTACGCAATCTGCGGAAGAGAGTATAGAGAATACAAGGATTTAACGTGGTATCCCCAAAGTGTTCGGGACTAATCCACGGGAGAGCTAAAACTCTCCGGCTACTGATATTATTGCTAATGATGATGATTTCGGCAAAGGCCGATTACAGTAATTATGGGAACCCATTCTCAAGTCACTAGGGTTTGTCGGAAATATGCTTTTCTTCTTTGGGACGTAAATCGAGCTACAGGAGGAAGCATGTGCCGCTGAGTTGGGCTGAGGCAAAGCGGGTCTGGTGGGCTGAGTTTGCGTCATCACGGAGCTGGACCGGCTTGTCCAACTGATAGAACCTGAGATTAGGGTTCTATCGGGAATTGGGGATTTAGGGATTAGAGAACAGAAATAGGGTTTTGAGAAGAGAAAGATAAAGAATCGGCCTAGGCCTTTAGAGGGATTGGGAACGAGAATTGAGAGGATTGGGAGAATAGGGTTTAGGAGAGGGTTTCTTAATATTCTTCTTGATTGCCTATAATGAAACCATAAATTACATATTTATAGGAAACTACTAGGAAACCCTAATGATAAACCTAATTCGACTAAAAGACTACTAACCATAATAAGAATTACCCTAATTATAATTATAATAATTAATATAGAACCCTAATGAAGTTGGTTTCCATCATCTCCTCCCCCTTCAAACCAACCTTGTCCTCAAGGTTGACCGTCTTGACCCAATTTGCAAGCTGACTAACCCATTTCTTGCGCTTCCGTTTCTTCCAATCATGCTCCACTCTCTGACTAGGCCTTCTTTCTTCACCCTCCTGGGGCTGCCCCATGGTCGTGAGTTGCATTTCTGGTGGCATAATCCTCGCATCCTCGAAGTATTCAAACTTCAATAATTCTTCTTTCGCGATCATCGACCTCCAGCAACTCAAGTAACTTAAGAATTCATTCTCGCTCAAGAACTCATCCTTAAGTACCAACTCATCAAGACCTGCAAATTTTATTATTGGAGGTAGCCCATAAACTTCTCCAATTGCATTTAGCCCATGCTCTCTTGCAAGCCCACCAACTAAGCCTCTACACCTTTCCTCTAGGCCCACCTTCTTCAAAACACAGCCCATACTGACCTCAAACCCTTCCTATCTCGGCCCAACACCATATAATAGTTCACTTGTGAAGTTGTACCTGGGAGGTCCCAAGACTGGCCCGTGCGAAGCCCAGCTCGGCTCTACCCTAAGATATTCCTCGACCCACTGCAACCTGAACTCCGGCCCGTCCTCAGATTTTCTCTCGGCTTGCTTCCTCCCCACACTCGGCCCCTCTGTTCCCCTCAGCTGCGGCCCGCCAAGACCTAAATAAGTTGACCCCAAGTTTGATCCGTCCAACCCGGTGGCCCAAGAACCCGCGCGGCCCACCGAACCCGACCACTGTTGTGTTCGAGCCAAGGGTGGAACCCTAGGTTTCGTGAGAAGGCCGTCGTCGCTCTCCTTCTTCCTTTCATTCGCCGTCAGCTCTTCGACGTCCGACTCCGGGGACTCCTCCTCCATCACTTTCTCTGGCGGAAAATCACTCACCCGACGGCAAGGTCGTTCGCCCCTCACCGGATTTTTCTTTTATCCCTCGTTGGTCGTCATCACCAACATCGCCACACAAACCACATGATCCGTCCTCCCTTCCAGCGACGACCCGAGCAAAGTCGCCGACGCTAGAGGCCACATCTTTTCCGGTGTCGATCTCTTCGCCTCGTTCTCCGGATCTTCCATCTTCGTCCCTGCACAGGTCGATGGTCGGTGTGAAAGCCGATTAGCTTTCGGCCCCGCCTCCGACGTTAGCTCCTCAACGGTCGGCTTCACATTTGGAGTCACCGCCGGCGAAGAACCCTTGCAACCCTGCTCCTCCTTCTCCTCTTCGATCCTCGACGGCGACCCGATCCTCCGGCGGGGAGTCCCGTTCGCCCCCAGCGACGTCTTCTACTTCAACTTCTCGTTCGACCTTGCCTTGAACGGATTCTCGTTAATCGTTGGTCGTTGAGCTAATTGCTCGATTCCCGGCGTTGACGTGTCAAACTAGGTGTTCATCTTTCCGCTAGTCGACGCCCAGGCTGGGGCTAGCGTTGATTGCGGCGGTGCTCCTTTCACTTTCGGTGACAAAATATGACGACTTTGCTCTGTTTCTCGTCGTCAAACAACGCTGACTGAGCACTTCTTCCCCGCCGACTTCCTCTTCGACGAATAGGCCGTTGTCGCCCGATCGGTTGCTCCCTGTTTTCCACATCGTCGATCGCTCCCTCCGCGGCACTCTGTCGTCTTCTCCTCTGAACCCCGGCCAGTTTGAATCTCGTCAGTCGGCAAAGCTGGTGGCCCGACGGAAGTCGCCACCTCGGGGCTTGCGATCGGTGACGCGAGAACGGGCAGCACGACGAACGCTAAATCGTTGTCGGTCCTCAGTCCCTTCTTTCGGAACCGCCAGTTCTCGATGCGGCTCTGCGTTGCTCTCCTCTCCGGCCTTCTTGCTCTGGCGTCGGCGGGCGCAGCTGATGACTTCACAATGCCCATAGCCCCGTTTGTCTCGTCATATGCCACCAGTGCCTGCTTGCTGACGATGACCCACGACTTCGGCGCACCGGTAGCCTCGACGCCGATGTCCTTTTCAACTGATTGGTATGCGCCGTCGGCAGGGTTGACTAGACCTCTTCTTCATCGCTAACGTTGGCTTGAGGCACAACAGGAACTTTTTTCCCCGACTCTTTGGTGGCGGCGACTGGAGCAAACTCCACCACAGCAGGAGCGTCTTCGACGGCGGCTGATGCTAATGATTCCTTCGACGTCGACTCTGGCTGTTTGCGGCTCGCGCGGCGGCGAGTCGTGCGACGCTCGAGTTTGGCTCGAAGTTCTTTCAGGCCTGCCATCATATAGTTTTCGTGAGCTTCCCTCCTAGCTTCATATTCTACCCTGCTAGCTTCACATTTTACAAGACTGGCTTGGAGAGCTTCAAACGCGTGATAGAGTTTCTGATAACGATTCCCTGGTGAGAGTTGTGATGAACTCAAATCTGTGACCATGGCTCAGATACCAATTGATAGAACCTAAGATTAGGGTTCTATCGGGAATTGGGGATTTCAGGATTAGAGAACAGAATTAGGGTTTTGAGAAGAGAAAGATAGAGAATCGGCCTAGGGCTTTAGAGGGATTGGGAACGAGAATTGAGAGGATTGAGAGAATAGGGTTTAGGAGAGGGTTTCTTAATATTCTTCTTGACTGCCTATAATGAAACCACAAATTACATATTTATAGGAAACTACTAGGAAACCCTAATGATAAACTTAATTCGACTAAAAGACTACTAACCATAATAAGAATTACCCTAATAATGATTATAATAATTAATATAAAAGCCTAATGAAGTTGGTTTCCATCACCAACACTCCCCCGCAAGCTGGAGCATGAAGGTTCCGAACGTGCAGCTTGGAAAGTAAGAAACGAAACCGATCGGCCCCGAGGCCCTTAGTAAAGATGTCAGCCAGCTGCAAGTGGGAGCTGACTTTTAGAGGTAAGTGTCACCAGACTGAGCACGTTCACGTACGAAGTAGCAGTCCATTTCCACATGCTTGGTGCGCTCATGGAAAACCGGGTTGGCTGCGATATGAAGAGCAGCCTGGTTGTCGCAGTAGAGCGGTGTAGGGCCAGGCTGTGGGACACCGAGCTCAGCAAGTAACCAGTGGAGCCTGATAACTTCGCTGACTGTGCTAGCCATGGCACGGTATTCCGCTTCAGCAGAAGAAGGGGCAACCACCTTCTGCTTCTGGGTGCGCCAGGAAACAGAAGCCGCCCCCAAAGTGATTAAATAACCCGTAGTGGAACGTCGGGTACGCTCGCATCCTCCCTAGTCTGCATCACAATAAGATGTGAGTGTCAAATCGTTATCAAAAGGGAAAATGATACCTTGAACAGGAGATGTCTTAAGATAGCGCAGAACGCGAATAGCCGCATCCATATGTAACTGGCTGGATCTTTAACAAACTGACTCAGGATATTGACTACGTAGGTAATGTCTGGTCGAGTCACTGTGAGATAAAGTAATCTTCCAATGAGCCGACGATAGATGTAGGGGTCTGGTAGAAGATCGTCATCATCCGGTAGACGTGTGAGATGATGATTCTGCTCCACAGGGAAAGCACTAGGCCGAGCTCCTTCAACCCCAGCATCCTCCAATATATCAAGAGTATATTTGCGTTGACACAGTACCACACTATCTCGAGTACGGGCAAACTCCATGCCGAGGAAGTATCGGAGATTACCCAAATCTTTGATACTGAATTTGGCATCCAAAAAACGCTTGGCCTTGGTAATGAACTCCAAATAATTTCCAGTCAAGATGACGTCGTCCACATAGATGAGAGCCACAACAAAGGTGCTCCCCCGCCGAAAGATAAAACAAAGAATGGTCAGCAGCTAAGAATCGAAAACCCAAAGAGCAGAGAGCATCTGTGAACTTGTAATACCAGTTACGAGAGGCTTGACGAAGCCCATAAATCGACTTATGGAGACGAAAAACTCGTGTGTCACCTGGAGCGGCGAAGCCGGGAGGAATCTATATGTAAACCTCTTCCTCTAAGTCACCATGGAGGAAAGCATTATTGACATCAAGTTGGTGCAAATGCCATCCGCGACTGACAGCAACGGCAATAAGACAGCGAACAGTGACCAATTTGGCGACCGGGGCAAAAGTATCGTCAAAATCGATGCCTTCAACCTGAGTGTAGCCTTTCGCCACTAATCTTTCCTTATAGCGCTCTATGGTGCCGTCTGGACGATATTTAATCTTAAATACCCACTTTGCTGCAATAGTGCGTTTGCCTAGTGGGAGCTCCACTAGGCTCCATTTGCCATTTTGGTAGAGAGCCTGAATTTCCTTCTCCATGGCTTCACGCCATTTGGGATCAGCGAAGGCCTCCTTGAGATTTTTAGGCTCGTATGTGCAAGTAACTGCGGCAAAAAAAGACTGATAAGAGGGAATGAAGTGCTCATAGGAAACAAAAGCCGATAAAGGCTAAGTGACCATATTTGAAGTACTTCCCTGATCAGCTGCGGTCAGATCATCAAGAGGAGCAAATGTGGATTGATAGATACCCAGATGCTTGGGCCGAGCGCGCGCCCTGTCACTGCGCCGAGGAACGGGCGGAGGCGAGGGCTGTGCGGAAAGGGCAGCGTCCAGGGCAAGTGAGGCCGTCGGAGCTGGGCTTGGCAAGTCCAAGGAAAGAGACTCAGTTGGCAGGCTGGCCACATTAGGCCCAGTGGGTTGATCGCCATGAGAAGAGCCAGTAGGTGTAGTGGGCTCGTGACCGTCGTGGCCGGACAACCCATGATGTCCAAGATCCTCGAAAAGGTCTTCATCGTCGAGGACAGGTGTTGTCGACGAGAAGGTCGGACGAGGTATCCAGTGTAACCGACTAGATGTGATAGGCTGGAAGGGATAATGATCTTCGTGGAAGTGAACATCCCGGGACGTGACTATCCTGCGCGTGCTAAGCTCATAGCAGCGATAGCCCTTCTGACTAGAAGCATAGCCAATGAACGCACAAGCACGACCTCGCTCGGCAAACTTGTCAAGGGGTGCATGCGTGTCCTTGATGTACACCAAACAGCCAAATACACGGAGATGTGTATAGGGAGCTAGCTTACCAAACAAAACTTCAAAAGGTGTGCGTTTGGTTGCCTCTATCGGTAATCGATTGATCAAGTAAGCAGTCGTGAGTATGCACTCTCCCCAAAAACAAAGAGGAAGTGAAGCCTGAAAACGCAGAGCACGAGCTGTATCAAGCAGATGTCGGTGCTTGCGTTCGACAACACCATTTTGCTATGGTGTGTCAGTGCAGGAAGTCTAGAGCAAAATTCCTTCACGTTCATAAAAACCTTGTAGCACAAGTGTATTGAACTCATGCCCATTATCATCTTGTATTCTGTGAATGTTTTTCCCAAAATGCCTGCGAACTAATTGAGCAAACATCATCAAGTAACGTCCAACCTCGAACTTAAACCAAAGCAGATAAACCCATACTCCACGACTATAATCATCAACAATAGTTAGGAAATAATGAGCTCCACTAAGCGAAGCAGTGTGATAACCACCCCAAATGTCAACATGAATCATCTCAAAACACTGCTTTGGCGAATAGTGCTTGAAAAGAAAGGCTACCGAGATTGTTTTGCCCTAGTACAAGAATCACAGGATTGATTGGAAACCGAAGAAATGTCTAGAACAGTCCGAAGTTGCTGCAGTTTGGACAAGGAGGGATGCCCCAGTCGGGCGTGCCACAACGTGTCGGGAACCTTGTCTTGCCGCGTCACCGCACATGAACGAACTCGTCCAACTCCAAACAACCGCAGATAGTAAAGTCCATCGCGCAACTCACCCTTCCCAATCAGTTTCTTGGAGAGTAAGTCCTGAATGACGCAAAAATTTTCCAGAAAAATTAATGCAACATGATTCTCTTTAACGAAGCGACTTACAGAAATCAAGTTACAGCGGAACTCCGGCACGTAAAGGA